ATTATTTTTTTTAATCTGAAACATTTTCAAATTAATATAACATACCACATGCTAATGGACATTCGTTTATGCACAGCTCTCTTTACATCCCACCATTTCAAAAGAATATATCCATTAAATATATGGTATCAAACACCTGTTCAAACCGGTATAAACAATATATCAGTATGTTTATTTACATTTTATAACTCTGTTCATTATTATTAAATTAAAAGTTGGATTGTATTGTTCTGGCTCAGACTTTTTTCCTGCAGCAGAATTCTTGACTTGTCCCACTAAAACACAACAGTGACCAATTCATCAATTCATTTTATTACTGACAAACATGTTTAAACAAAAAAAAAGGTGCATAAAATCAGCTACTGCATTTGAACACGTGCCAAAACTATTAGCAATATGGAGATCAATAAAACCATTTTATACTTCATAAAATATCTAAAACACCAGATGGGAGTAACAAGAGTATGCATCAGTGGAGCAGTCCCATGATAGTCCTGTTGTAGACAAACATGACAACAGTCAAATCACCACTAGGGTCCTCTGGGAGTACTCAGGGAATAAATTACCTTCTTCTAACTGCTAACGGCTACATCTTTGTCTGTGGCCTTTTGGAAGAGAAATCCTGACCACTGAGTGATCTCACATTTTGTTAGAGTAACTGTGGAGTCCCCGTAGCAACAGCTGAGCTGCTGGCACTGTGTTTCAAAGTGAAGCACCCTCAATAAGGCTACCATCCCCCTGCAGCCTCCTCACCAAGATGTCAGCAAATCTCAGGAAAACTTCCAGAGGACTGATTGTATTCACTTTGTATTCATTTTGGTTAAAGAATATAAAACTTCAGCAAACTCTTTATTTTCTTAGCATATTTTTTTCTCGTGGGTGATAGAATTGAGACTGGCCTGTGAGCGACTGGCTGTGTTTTCAAATAACAAAATAGCTGTTAGAAAAACAAGGATAAGCATAGGTTTCTAAGAAGATAAGCTATAATTTACTTTATCAGTGGAGGAGTTGTGGAGTTGCTCCACTGTGCCAAAAAAGCAATCACATTTTTCTGCACTCCTTGGACTTTAAATAGAGTTCAACTATAAAGATGGTGGAGATGGTGGGGGGACCTAGCCAACAGTGTGCGTCTGACTGTCAACCCACAGCCTCCACCACAGACAGATCTGCAGATCCAGAAGTGGCCTACAAGACTGCAAGGAGAGAATGTAAATAATGGACTTCTGCAAAACTGTAACTACAAATAAAATTGAATTCATAGCCACGTTTGTAGCACAGTGGTTAGCACTGTGCACGTACAGCATGGAGGACCTGAGTTTGAATGTACTGGATGGCTACGGCACCCTAAGGTACTTTGACTTCCTCTGACTGTCTAAAATCAGTCATGTTTGAAAATTCTAAATTGAATCCAAGTGAGTGTACATGGCTATTTGTCTCTCTCCTGTCTGTGGACAGGACAGCAGTCTCGACCTTTCATACTATAACAACTTAATGGATATATGCTTGTGTTTTTTTGTTCTTTAACAGCCAAGATAAACGAGATAGCCCCCTGTGACACTAAACTAAAGATGGATCGATTCAAGTAATATTGGCCCACTATTTTTTACAACATTGCTTCAGTTCATTGAGGTTTGTGGGCATTTCTTTATGCACAGCTCTCTTAACGTCCCACCATTTCAGGAAATTTCAATGGTGTTTTGAGATGGACTGTCACTGAGCTGTAGATTTAGAGCTTGAGATCACTGTCATGACAAAATTATGGCCAAGCTTTGGCTTTTGGACAGATGACCTCACGCTCTAGAATACTTTGGTATACTGATGAGTTCATTGTTGACTCAATGACAGCAAGGTGCCCAGGTCATGTGGCTGCAAAACAAGTCCAAATCATCACCCCTCCACCACCATGTTTGTCAGTTGATATGCCAAACATGGTGCTATGTATTATGGCCAAACATGTCCACTTTGCTCTTGTCTGCCCAAAGGACATTGTTCCAGAGGTCTTGTGGTTCTTTTAGATGCAAACCTAATCTGTGCTACCATGTTGTAGAGAGAAGAGCCATCCTTTATCAGTCGTTTTCTAATTCTTCTGTCATTATCTGAGATGTGGCTTTTTGTAGTTTCTCTGACTTTTGGAGGAATTTCCTGGGACATCCAGAGAGGATAGCCAACTGTCTTGTCTTGAATGTATACCACTTGTGAATAATCTTTCTCACTGTAGAATAAAGGACTTCAAACTTGTGTGGAAATGCTCTTAATACCCTTCCAAACCTGATGGTGAGCAACAATTGCTTCTCTAAGCTCATCGCTGATGTCTTTCCTTTTTGGTATAATGTTAGCACACACCTGAATGCCTCAGACCAGCAAACTGACAAACCTTCTGCTTTTAAAAAGGTGGTCACTCTTGCTGATGATCAGTTAATCAAGTGCATTTGATTAGCAAAACCTGGCTGCTACTGGCTGCCTATATTTCTATGGAAAACAGTAAGGATGTACTTAACTTTTCACATTCTGCTTCCACATTTTGGATAAAATTTGTTAAATATATAATGACACAGTTTAATATTCCTTGTGGGGTTGTTGATTGGAGGTTGGTTTTACCCACTTCTCAAACTGTTAGGACCAGATGATTTTTATTTTATCATGTCCTCATCATAAAACCATAGAACTGAAAGAGGGTGTAAGTTCCTTTTCACATGGTGTATTTTACAGTGATGTCCTTTAAAGGTGACATAATATTGCTGGGACCTAAATCTGTTTTCTCAGTGACAAGTGTTATACATCCCCACATACACACACACACACAGAGGTTCATGGTGTGAAAGCAATATCAGCTACACGACTGTAAGCTGATAATAATGCTGGTGTTTTGCTTCAGTAGAAGGTAAAAAAAATGACAGTATATTCTCTTTTTACAGTGGGCGCACCAACTGTCCTTGAAAAATAATACAGCTTTTTTTTTATGTGATTCATCTTTTATTCTCAGGAAATGACAAAAATGTGAGACGCAGCTAATTCTCAGGCTGACTCTGTGTGGCAACATTGCATTGCAACATTAAAATCACAGAGCAGAAAAAGCCTTGAGGGCAAAGAGGATTTCAGGCACTTCCATCAACCTGCATGGAGACAAGAACTCATCTTACAGGGCGGTCTAATGAGATGTGCTCACTTTCCCTTCCCCAAACATAGTGGAAAGATCCATAATTCATTAAAGCAAAACTTATGTTCGTGCATTACAGCTGCCACCGCTTTAAAAAGACGGACACATTTCCTGCCCTTCTTCTGAAAGCCCTTGGTGCCCTGCTTTGCTCTCGTGCATGCGTACTTTGTGCTTCTAATTTCTGCTGAAGGTGGTTTTATTATGCAGACACCATGGGGGTGGTTACACTCCACTGAATTAATGTCACCTGATTGGATGCCAGGGAATGAAAGAAGGGTAAAAATATGAATATGGAGCCTTTGAAAAGTTTGAAAGTGCATTGAAAAAAAAAATCAGGTAAAAGAGAGGCTCGACGAGTATATGACCTGAGCTCGTTTGCATCCCCTGTTTTTGTTTTCCTGGTGGGCCGTGAAACCGATGTGGCTAGTCAGGTGGATTTAACTCCTCCCTCCCCGGGCCAGGTTAGGCAGAATCACAGACAATCACAGTAGAGCTACAGCATTCTTCTCTTGCACTCCACTCTTCTCTTTTCCACCCTGGTGACGTCAGCCCCCTAGACCACACGACTCTGCTGCAAACAGCACACCTGCTGGCTTCACAGTCCATCTGGCCCCGCTCCATGTCTTGCTCAGCTCTCCGAGCAGAAATGCAGATCTGTTTACAACCTGGGCACACAGTCACGATCCTATAGTAGCTGCGGTTTGCATTTCACGCTTGCTCGCTGGGGGAAAGAGGAGTGGTGGCTCTGTAGCCCGCTGGTGACAGCAGACACCAAAGTGACAACAATCACGCGTCTTATTAGGGTTTCGTTGTTCACATTACAGGTTAAACAATTCCTCGGTATGCTGCAAGAGGGTTTTGCTGTGTGTTTATCTACATGTCGCTGACTAATCATGAGAATTCTCCCAGGGTTTCCTTACATCACTTCACCACAACTCCACAGCATCCACAAACAGAGCGGTTGCTGTCTTGTAATTGAAGTGACAGGCCCTCTCACCTACTACTAAAATCAGCATGAACATAAAACTGCACCATCATCAAAGCAACACTGGGAGTAGAGAGAAACCAAAGGGAGGGAAAGACGCTTATTATGATCAGGGCCTGGGCTTGTTTTAAGTTTTTAAAGAAATATGCCTGCGCTGACAATATCAATCGTTTGTTTTGGGCTCTGGAAAATCCCTCTTAAAAGAGGACATGTGCCGTTAGTACACACCAGGAAGCTGCAGCCATTTAATCATCACATCCAACCCTGCATCAACAACACATGGCACATCTTTGGTTTTATCAGTGTAGTGGCACATTGTGCAGCTGAGGGGGCATGTTTCATGGGATACCCTATGTGCATTGCTGGAAACTGCATGGACAGCGTTACCAACAGTCTCCCTTCTCAAGCTTGGAGAGGACATAATAATAATAATAATAATAATAATAATAATAATAATAATAATAATACAGCTGGAGGGGAACTGCTTTCATTCATTACTTTAAGAGGATAGTGAGCTTCTGGCAACCACTCAATCCGAGCTTGAGTTATGTCTGTACTACAAGGCTCCCTGACGTCTCTAATCCCACGACCGAATTCTCTGATGGTTGAGGTAATAGTAGGTCATGAAAGGGGGAGAAAAAATGTTTGCACAAGCCTATTCGGGATGGCAAAAATAAATAACTACACGTTTCTATTTTAGGTCTAATTTATCTTGGTTGACACCAGCAGCAGGAGCAGGAGCAGCAGCGGGGCATTCAGGCACTTGCTGCCACCCCCCCTGATAAAACACTTGCTTTTCTGTCTGCCAGGTCAGACACAATCGCAGCGCGCTGCGGAGTGAATAAACAGGTGACTAACCTGAATGGTGCACGTATATTCCGTGTCGTCCAGCAGCCTGACCGTGCAGTTGTATTCCCGCTCAAGATTCCTGACGCTGCCACTCATAAATCGGCTCAACATCTTTCTCTCCCAGGTTTCGCCGCTCTGCGTCTACAGGACCAGAACAATAAACTCGAACACCAGCATGCAAGTGAATGTCACATTGACCGCATTTCCCGGTCCCCTGAACGACCAGCAGCCACGGATTCAGCCGCCGAGGCGAGCACCATTGTTGTCCCGTTAAGTTTTCCGTGCTGTGGGCCCGTGCTGAGAGCGAAATCCAAGGATGCCCGCATCCAGATCCAGAGGCTGCTCAGCCCTGCTGCTGCTCTGTGTGTGTGTGTGTCTGTGTGGAGCTGAGGATTATCTCTCACCATTCACTGCTGCCACTTGAGCAAGCGGGCGGGTCCAAATGAAAACTGACGTCAAAGAGAGCCAACGGGAGTGTGAAGTTTCAATATATACTGATTTTCTTTTCTTACGCCTAATTTCCCCATGACCAGCAATTATGCATTAGAAAACTTTCAAAAGGTTAGCTTCTTTTTATGACTCACTCAGTGTGAAGTTAAAATTATTCACCCAAATCATGCTGTGCGAGGAGCAGTGTCATAACGTGAATCATTTAATGGGTCTTTGGAGGTAGACTTCAGGTTCACGATGAAACGTTGGAGAGAAATCAAGCTGCTCCTGCCTGGCTGACCTAAAACCAGCGGCTTCGGGTGTCACACAACTTCCCAGGTGGTGGATATTAAATGTATTGGGCTGCCACCTGCAGGCCATTCGTTGTCATTGCGGCAAGCAAATCGAGTGAAAATGTTTCGTCAGCCTAAAACGGAAATGCAAAGCTTGTATTACAACAACAAAAAAAAATCACGTTAAAGTGGCGTAAGCGTGTATTAACAATTTAAATCTATAAAAATATAGCGCCCCGAGTATGACGTACATTTCTGCCGTGACCCGGATTCGAACCGGGGTTGCTGCGGCCACAACGCAGAGTACTAACCACTATACGATCACGGCGAGCTAACGGGGACTGAGTGCACCCCGCTTATTTTTGTCGTTAAGTAGAGTACGTCATCACGATGTTTCGAGGTCGAAAGTTGATTTATTTTAACCGTTGCCTAATCCACTAATACACATTTATGTCCAAGTCATGAGTTTTTCATAATCAAACACTTGAAGCTAATTGTTGTTAGATCACAAATCTATTTGTATTGTCTGGTGAAAGTGCCTTGCTCAGAGGTTAGAGGAGATCTAGACTATTTTGAGCTGCAATTGTAATATATATTTTTTTTTTTACATTTTCTTTCATAACTAACAGACTACTTGAGATTAAAAAAAAAAAGTCATGTATCAATAAACACACACATATATACAATAATTAATAGTGCGGTTGATATTTTTACTAGCAAGGTCAAGACTACAATATCCGTTTCTTATGCAGGAAGTCGGAGAGCTAGAATTGTCCCCCCGGTGGGCATTATGTCCACCTACTATATGGTAAAATGTAATCACATTACTGTAGAAGTACAGTACTATACAACTCACGAGTGACCCCTTATTTCTATTTTGCTTCCAGTTCGCCAGACTTTTTGTAATTTAAAAAAAAGAAGATCTTGAGCAATAATCTCGAGTCAAAGTTTTTTGGACACTCATTTTCAGCTTTTTTTAGACCATGTTTTTTTGTTTGTTCTATTGTCCCATTTGCTTGTTCTGCCACTTAACACTGACCAGTGAACCATTCAAGCCTAAGAAAATGCACCTAGCCAAAGGCACAAATCAGTGTTGGGTCTACAAATGACAGACTCAGCAATCTGAAATTGCACCTTTAAGCACTTTTAAGCTGTTTCTAGCAGCCTGTTGTAAAAACACATAATTTATTCCCATTTCTTTACCAGAATCTACAGAAACCTGACAGCTGAAAACTTGGCTTTTGGCTGCACTAAAATAACATTTTAAAAAGAGGAAACTGAAAAAGTGAAGGACAAAGGCAGAAGTGGTGAGCTTAAAAAGCAAAACAAAAACATGGCAGATGAGCAGTATCTCAAACTCATGTTCTTAAGAAATATGACAAAAAAAAAAAATCAGAAAAAAACAAAGTTGATGAAATCATAAACGCAGAAGAGTGCAGTTGGATTTTGATTCAACATGCAGTAGCTTCTGGCAAATGTCTGATGTTTTTCAGAATGACAGTGAACTTAAAAGCACTGCCAATACAGTAAAAGCATACCTGGAATAAAACAAAAGGCAGTCAACATTGAAGGAAGAGCTTTGAATGTTCTTCAAGAAGCCTGGAGAACTATTCCTGAAGACTACCTAAAGAAATTACAAGAAAGCTGCCTAAGACAGTTCAGAATTTTTTCGATGAATAAAGGTGATCATAGCAAATATTGTCTTTCGAGCTCAACAGAATTGAACAAACTCTGTTTTCGTCTTATTTGCTGTATTTCCATTTTCCAATAAATCAAAGGACCCATATCCCTGAGGGGTGGCTTGAGACTTTTGCACAGTAATATATCGAATAATGCAACCCACAGCAATCTGATAATGTACGTTAGGTTTAAAACTTAAGATAGACAACAGATTTTAACTGAATGTTTTGAGCACCTTATTGAATTAATGCCATGAAGAATTTAGACAATCCAAAGGCAAAAGACGGCCCAACCCAGTACTAGCGAAGTTAAAACTGACATATTTTAATTTATTCTACAAACTTGAATTAAGCATCACTGTGAAAATGCTCCTTGAGAAAAACAAACAAAAAAAACAACAACCCCAAAACAATTAAAATGTAGATTTTAAAGTTCAACAGCAAAACATATTGATATAATAAATTGCTTGTTTGTTTGTTTTTAAAAAAAAGTGATCAATGTAGTATTCTTCATTAGATAAATTACTGACAGTATTGTCTTCATTTAATAATTTAGGCCAGCCAGCTTGCCATTGAAAAAAGTGTTATATACAATTAATGTTTTCTAAGCATATAATTTATGATGAAAATCAGCTTACAGTGTTATTGTGGCTACTAATCTAACAGCTGAAGGCTGGTAAGACAAAAAACAAACCTCAATCACTTACTCACTTATACATTAATTATCATCATCATTCATAGACAAGTACAAACATGTTTACAGCAACTGTAAACAAAACAAGAGATTTCCAACCAGTATTTACAAAAGTAGTACCAGAAAGTTTTAATGTGGACAGCTGAAGTCGTTCTCGTCATTCTCTTCAGGTTCATTGCTCCACGTAACAGGAATTTTAGCAGCACACACCGCCTTTCTAGTGAAAGGGCGGCATGACCCAGTCTGATGCAGCGGGGGATTGCTGCTAGCGATGTTGCCCATGCTTTTAGCAAAAGCGCCTTCTCGTGTCCTGCCTGCTGCTCCATGATTCCTCCTGTACAGCTTGCAGGAAGCCACGAGAGGCTTTCCTATGTCCACCTGCTGGCTTTCTGTCTGACGCAGTTTACTGTCTCTGTGAGTATAGTGTAGATCCACCTTTATGACCATCGACTCCTAAAAAAAAAAATAAAAATAAAAAAAAAACCAAAACAATTATTGTAAGGAGTAAACACTATTAGAGAAAGGTATTAGTATAGACATGCAGAGACATACCTTGAGCTTCTGAAGAGCACAGAGCCTCAGAGTACAGTCTGGGCTAACATTATTCATAAGTAGTAGTGAGTCCATCTCCTCTGACCTGCCAGACCTGGAAAATATGTCTTCCATCGTCTGAGGATTAAAAGCACAAATAATGTTATTATTATATATGTAAACCATCTTCATCAATATAAATAAACAGCTGTATTTACAGTGGTTTGGCACTGAATCGTTGCTAATAAGTGCAGTATCACATTCAAAAATCAGCCACTAGATGTCAGGATTACACAAGAGTCAAAGTCAGCCAAACTGACGGAATTATTTCACAAGAGCAGTGCTGCTCATAACCATTACTGCTTCCTGATTTGTCTGCGGTTGCAGCATGCTGGAAGCCTATATATGGGCAGAACTTCCTCACACATGTGAAATGTGGGTGTGAATGGTCATCATTGAGAAATCCATTTTGTCTAGTGGAAACTGACGAGCATTTTACCATGAGCCTTGTGGAATTTGTCGTGTAGGGACAAGCTGAGAATTTTATCCAAATCCTGAGTTTACTGATAGGCGTTTGCCAAAAATCAAAAGCAGTTATGTAACAGTGGCATTTCAGTGTATTGCAATTTAGTCATACTGCCATTAACAATCCCCCTGCCTTTGTACTCCAGGGCCTACTTAGGCTTGTTCGGATAGCCAAATTTGGTGAAAAAGTCTGACAGTGAAGTGGAAAATAAGAAATACTTACAGGTATACTGCTTAGTGTGACCACGCAGTCCTGGGTATGGGGGCCTGTGGTCTTTACAGTGGCAAAAGCTACGAGAACATTAGAGTACAAAGCTGAGAAGCTGACTTCCACTTCTACTCTGCAAAGAAACATCAGCCGCTTCTTCTGTGGTAGCTCTGAAAGCAGATGTGAAACGTTTTATGTTTTTTAAATAGAAGGGAAAAAGCATGCATAAAAACATGTTCCAAAACTTATTCGACATTTCTATCTTTTTTTCTTTCTTTTTTTAATCATGATGCTATTTAGGATTAAGGAGGATTTTGCAGAGCCCATGACAAAATTAGGACTTTCAGCAACTCATTTATCTCAAGAAGCCACAGACTTTTATCTTCCATCTAGGAAGAGTTCTTAGATTAACCCACAATATCAAGATTCAGTTTGAGCAAATGTGTAAAAAGAAAATACGAGGAAGTCTGAGTTGTCAAAACAGACTTCCTTCCATCAAAGGGGGAAATGCACAGTGTAAAATAAACCATTTCCCTCTTTGCATTAATCAAACGGAATTATGAATTATGCTGAAAAAATATTAAACCACAGTGTGCAGATTTAGTTTGTCACACATTGTTGAGTAGGAGGTGAGAAAAAGGTTAAACAGTACACTCACTCGCTTTGTGGGGATTTATGCTTCAGCGAGAGAAATCTACGTCATGACCGCAAACACCTCCGATGTAACTAACAGCACGTCGGGTCAACGCAGCCCGCAGCCGCTATTGTTACTGGCTCGTTCGGCACAGTCGCTTCCTTCTTGTACATTTCCAGCTACTTTTTTTTGAATTCATCAGCATGAGACTAACAATTATGGCCTCGATAGAAGTTCTGTCAAATGTCAGCAAATCCCTGGAGGAGGATTGCTGAAATATCAGAATGGACGTCAGGGAATTTACAAAAAAGTGGAAAAACTAGAGGAACAGATATGTTTGACCGTGAAAAACACCGACTGCGACAAAGAGTATTTTTTTT